TACTCCATACTCTCGGATCAGAAATGAACGAATTTACCAAATCCATACTCTCGGACTAGGGACGAATGACTAATCCATACTCTCGGATTAAAGATGAATGATTATGCCTAATCCATACTCTCGGACTAGGGACAATAGCTAATCCATACTCTCGGATTAACGACGAATGATTATGCCTAATCCATATTCTCGGACTAGGGACAATGACTATGTCTAATCCATACTCCTGGATAAGTGACATATACTAACTTCTATTCTCTGAGTTTAACTCACTTGTACTCGTAAGAATATACTACCCAATATTCCTCATATTTAATTTAGGTCTACTCTTTATCCTAAATTATCAAATATAATCAGGTATGTTCTTTAACACGAATTTCAAGCAACATCAATTAACTCGCACATAAACATAAAATTAATACTTCAATCAATACTTGTATTAAAATCATGTTCATGAAAGGGACTATGCACTCACCTGAGAAGGTGGTGACTCGGTACTCGGACAACGCTTCGTTTACTTTAAAATAATTTCCTTCGACGAAACCTAGTATTATCACCAATAGATTTTAGTCTATTATTCGCCGAGACTAATTAATAGTCTAGCTATTATTACTATTATATAAGCGTTAAAAAAATACTTATATAACCCATAATAATAGCCCAAGTATTTATTATATGTTCTTAATAACGTTAATATAATTAAATAAAAACTATATTAAAAATAGCGTAGGCGTAGCTCACTTACAACGGGTTTTATAGAAAACCAGGCTTTGCTTGGAGCAGCGTTTCCGAGCCGAAAATCTCTTCTTCTCGGAGCCGTCGAGCACTCCGGGGCTTCCGCCTCGTGCTAGGGAGGGTCTCCCGGTGAGTTCATACCCCTACCCTTTTTCACTGTTTTCACTGTTTTCAGGGGGGAACACAAGAAAAGTACAAGGGAATTCTTGTACTCAAAACATGTTTTCAAATGTGTGTTTCGTATTTCATATGCTTTTATTACTGATTACCATATCCGATAACCACTTGAACATACAGATCACGTAACATATATTTGTGAAATAGATCTTTAAACTAGTATGTTTTGCATGTATTTCACAAATGGTTTTCCATATTTTATCAGTTAAAAGCATGACATTGAAACATTTGAATACAATACCTGTACACTGTTTTGTCCTCTGTAACACTCCACACACATATACGAGTGGAGGACTATCATATTATTACTAGTAAATCTGTTATTTCTGTATGATTGGAGACACGTCCTCGGAGAACACTCCACCCAGGTTACGCGAGTGGAGGACTACACCCATAACCAGAATCTCTGGTATTTAGAGAGTGTGACTTGAGTGTATAGATCTATACGCGGCTGACTACCCCACACCCGGCTGCTAGCTATAGCCGAACCGAAATGGTTCAAGGGTGACGAAAGTCATAAGTATGTGGACGACTTATTGCCACATGTGGACTACTTATTGCCACAGGTTTCAGTCTATTGTATGGTTATGGAACTTGCAATTAGGATACCAGAGATTTACTTACAGTAATAATGAATCACTTTATACATCATTTACATATTTTACATCTTTCACATTCTGTAACTAACAATCAGGAAAGTACGGGACTTTCCTGGGGAAACATGGGAACCAACCACGATTACATCTTTTACATCTTTAACATCGTTTACATTAGAAATCTACATGCAGGAAAGCATGGGGCTTTTCTGGGTAACACTTACATAACTAGAAAGAGTAACAAACTGGATAACATTACATCTTTTACAATTTGTAACATACAATAAGGAAAGTATGGGACTTTCCTGGTAATACATGATAAGTAAACAGAACAGTTTAACCAGTCAGATAATCAACCATACATTTTCACATAAGTAGACATGTTTACAGTGTACAAACTTACTATACTTTAAAATTGGGAAACAATAACCAACTTTTAAGAAAATACGGAATTTTCTTGGTGTACATAACATTTCAGAAACAGAATGGAAACCGATACATTTTCATAAAAACAAAAACCGCTTATGAACTCACCAGCTTTATGCTGATTTTCAAACCGCTTGTGTTCTCAGGTCAGCGTTAGAACAGGTACCTGAAGATCCTTTTGCTTGAAGACGGTGTACATGAAGACCCGTTACATTTTGTCTATATATACTATGTATCACAACTGTACAAGCTTTACTTTTGAAACAACTGTAAAACTTTTATTATGTAATGTAATGGTTGCTTTACTTTACTTACTATGTACATTGGATTTGATACTCAACGTGGTAGTCAACCCCGGAAATGTTTTCCGCCTTCGGTTTTCGGGGTGTGACATGCTTCGCTATCTATCTCTTTTTGGGGGCATGCCTTAGAGACTGCCGCCCATATCCTTAACCGAGTCCCTACTAAGAAGGTTGCCAAAACACCTCACGAGATGTGGACGGGGAAAGCTCCTTCGTTAGCACATATCAAGGTTTGGGGTTGTGAGGCTTTCGTAAGACGAGATACTCACGACAAGCTCGAACCTCGTAGTGAGCGATGTATTTTCATCGGCTACCCACAGAAATCCTTTGGATATCTCTTCTATAGACCGAAGGACAATGTTGTCTTCGTTGCGAGGAGAGGAGTTTTCCGAGAGCAATAACTCATAGGCAAAGGAGACAGTGGGAGGCAAATCGAACTTGAAGAGATTCAAGAGCCGATAGATGAAGGAACCTCTACCGCTGGCACTCAACCCGAGGAGGAAACTCCGGTTGAACCGATTGACACATCATTACCTCTTAGACGTTCCGAAAGAGTTAGAGTTCAACCCTAGTTATATGGTTTTCATATTACTACTGAAGAGGACACGTATATTAGTGATAGTACACTAATAAACCTTGATGAACCTAATAGCTATAAGGAAGCCATGGCAGGCCCGGAGTCTGCGAAGTGGAAAGAGGCAATGGACAGCGAGATCCAGTCCATGTATGACAACCAAGTTTGGAATTTGATTGATCACGTACCCGGACGTAAGACCATTGGGTGCAAATGGATCTTCAAGAAGAAGACCGACGTGGATGGAAACGTACACACGTATAAGGTGCGATTGGTTGCGAAGGGCTTTACTCAATCTCCCGGAGTTGACTATGATGAGACCTTGTCACCAGTTGCGAAGATAAAGTCTATTAGAGTGATGCTAGCAATTGCCGCATTTCATGATTATGAGATTTGACAAATGGATGTCAAGACCGCTTTCCTTAACGGGAAGTTGGTTGAGGATGTTTACATGGCTCAGCCAGAGGGGTTTGTGGATCCGAAGCATCCGAATAGAGTGTGTAAGCTTGAGAAGTCCATTTATGGACTTAAGCAAGCGTCTCGCAGATGGAATCTTTGCTTCGATGAGAAAGTCAAAGAGTTTGGATTTGTACGAATCGAAGATGAATCGTGTGTATATGTCAAAGCCAGTGGGAGTATAGTAAGCTTCCTCGTTCTATATGTCGATGACATATTACTCATAGGAAACGACGTCCCGACTCTGCAGGAGGTTAAGTCCTGGCTCGGGAAGTGCTTCGCTATGAAGGACCTCGGAAAGGCTTCCTATATTTTGGGAATAAGGATAGTAAGAGAAAGAAGTAAGAGACTAATAGGACTTAGTCAGAACACTTACTTAGAGAAGGTACTAAAACGTTTTAGCATGGAAAACTCAAAGAAGGGAGAATTACCGATACAAAGTAATGCTAAGTTGAGTAAGACTCAAAGTCCGAGTACCGAAGCTGAGATAGTTGAAGTGAGCCGAGTTCCATACGCTTCCGCAGTTGGCTCAATCATGTACGCTATGACTTGTACTCGCCTTGATGTAGCCTTTGCTTTGAGCATGGTTAGTAGATATCAAGGGAAGCCTGACAGAGCTCATTGGATTGCGGTGAAGAATATTCTTAAGTACCTTCGGAGGACCAAGGAATGATTTTTAGTCCTCGGAGGGAGTGATAACTTGAAGGTGCGAGGGTATAGTGACGCCAACTTTCAGACCGATAGGGACAACTAACGTTCGCAGTCGGGCTGGGTCTTTACCCTAGTATAAAAGAAAGTAAAGCCAAAACAAAGGGTTTTGGGCATTATTGTTTATTTATTCATTTAAAGCGAACACAATATCAACGAGTTAAAGCCGAACTACGGGTCATAGAGCTTAAATAAAACAAAGTGTAAAAATTCTACACCATCTGTGTTTACCTTCTCTTAGTTGATTGATTTGGATAATATTTCACTTTACATTCTGAATGTATCCATGGGAGTTGGTCATGAGACCAAATTGCTTAAACCTTCAAGCTCGTATTTACGCCTTAACACTTAAGACTG